TAAAATCCCCATTCCCTCTCCACTCCAGGGGAAGGATACTGTAAAATCCCCATTCCCTCTCCACTCCAGGGGAAGGATACTGCAAAACCTAGATAATATTTACCAGTTCTCCAAACTACTCAAAATTTCCACTACCCGTTCTCCAGAACTGGTCAGAACCTGGTGAATACCACCTCTGAAATCAATGTATATTTTTCAAACTCACGCAAATTCCCTACCTTGTACTCTTCAGCAGCTTGTGCCACAGGGATAACATCATGAGTCTGGTGCTCCTGAGATCCATCACAAAGTAAGCAAATGGGGACAAGATCATCTCTGCAAAAAACCAACATTGCCGGTTCATGTCCCTGACAAGTTTTGCTTGTCCTTGTCATCTGCTTTACCTGATCACTCAGCTGCCTGATCAACTGGACAACAGTAGCCAGCTGCCCATTTGGCTTAAATTTCCACCGAGGCACTGCTACTCTGCACTGAGGGCAAGCCGTCTGGTCGGGAATCTGCCCCCAGTACTTTACAATGCAGGCATGGCAGAAGTTGTGCCCGCAGTCAAGAGTCACCGGTTGTACAAGGTACTCCAAGCACACAAGGCAAGTTATTTCTGACTGCAGCTTCTTCCCAATGTTCCCTGTAGCCATGCTGTTCGAAATTCACCACAAGCAAAGTTGAATGTGTGTTTACGCAAGAGCTCGGGCAGTTTTAGCAAGCACAGCTGTAGCAGGTCCACCAGAAAGTAAGCTGGATGAGGGAAAAGAAGAGAGAAAATAGCAATGGGGTGGGAGAGAGACAGTTCCATCTTCAGACTTCCATCCCTCCAAAATGTCCTAAGTTATCAATCACAGTTCTAGGCTGTATAAACAGAGGCATAGATCACATGAAGTGTTAATACTGCTTTATAATGCCTTGGTAAGGCCACACTTGAAATGCTGCATCCTGTTTTGGTTGCCACGATGTAGAAAAAATGTGGAGACTCTAGAAAGAGTGCAGAGAAGAGCAACAAAGAGGATTAGGGGAGACTAAAACATATGAAGAACAGTTACTGGAANTCCCAAAGGTGCTTTTTCGAGAGGCGACTGGACTTTCTGGTTTTTCTTTGAAGTCAGAGCTGAAGAAGCTTCGTGGATGAGAAGCAAAACATCTTCAAAGAAAAACCAGAAAGTCCTCTTGAAAAAGCACCTTTGGGAGAGGGCCCTTCATTGTTGACTTGTTCTATCATGAAAGCTACTTCCCCCAGCCCAGAAACAACGGCAACATTTAACTTGTATCCCTTTCACTCCATAATCATGGAACAAACCAGCATGAAAAATGAGTCAGAGAGCTCCTTCTGCTATGTCCTAAATTTCTTACCTCTAGGAATTCCAAGACTGGCTGATCACATTTCTCAACCATGTCCTGGATGATGTAATCAAGAACGAACAGTTCCCTGGAGATGACAGCCATCTGATCATTTGTTTTCAAGGTGATCTCTGTCTTTACCCCTTCAACCTTACTAAGCCAGAGGGTGTTTTGTTCTATTACAAGTTGGCGCAGAAGACCAAATCCATCCATCACTTTCTTTTTCTCTGCTTCTACCAGTTGCTGCGGTTAAAAAAAGAAAAAGATTTGAAGGGGGAGGAGAGCATAGCTATTCATTCTTAAGAATCATGGATGTCACTTCCAGCAGAGCAATCATTGGCTAAGTTCACACAACACTCTAAGCACGCAGTCCAGTTTGGTAACAATTAGGTCCTGTGTTCTTCTAACCTGCTGACTTGATGGTTTTGTTCACACAGGATACTGAGGAATCAAAACCTGCTTACCTTTACTTTAGCTTTTTTACCTATATTAAAGGTGACAGTACAAGGACCAAGCACAGTACAACAGTACAAGCTTGGGAATACTCTGCCTTTAAGCGCTAAGGAATTATTGAGTCTGTCTTCTGCACCCCTATAACTTGTCTGGTTTGGCTCTGCAACCCAACAAGACAGACAGACTTAAAAGGATAATTAGAACTTCAGAAAAAACAATTACTGCCAACCTGCCTTCCATTGAAGACCTGTACACTGCACAAGTCAAAAAGAGGGCTGAGAAAATATTTACAGACCCTTTCCATCTTGGACATAAATTGTTTCAACTCCTACCCTCAAAACGATGCTATAGGGCACTGCACACCAGAACTAGACACAAGAACAGTTTCTCCCCGAATGCCATCACGCTGCTAAATAAATAATTCCTTCAACACTGTCAAACTATTTACTAAGTCTGCATTACTATTACTATTAGTCTTCTCATCGTTCCTATCAACTATCTCCCACTTATGACTGTAACTTTGTTGCTTGTATCCTTACAATTTATATTGTTTCCTAATATGATTTGATTGCTTATTTGTACCCTGACTATGATTAAGTGTTGTACCTTATGATTCATGACGAATGTACTTTTCTTTTATGTACACTTGAGAGCATATGCGCCAAAGACAAATTCCGTGTGTGTCCAATCACACTTGGACAATAAAGAATTCAATTCAATTCTTATATTTAATCATTAGGCCTGGGCTAAGTCACTTGAAGTTCTCTCATTAATTCCAGCCAATATGAGAAATATTTTTGCTTTGCTAAAAACAGTTATAAAAAGGATATTGTGCAGTCATTGATGCTCTCTGAGCTTGGTTGTTTGCTTGCAGATATTTCATTACCCAACTAAGTACCACTAACATCATTATCTGACACTGCTGATGTAACCCAGCAGGAGATGATTGTCTGGCAAGCAAACAACCTCAGAGGACTTGCACAATAGCCTTTTTATAACTGTTTTTAGCAAAGCAAAAATATTTCTCATATTGGCTGGAATTAATGAGAGAACTTCAAGTGACTTAGCCCAGGCCTAATGATTAAATATAAGAATTGAATTCTTTATTGTCCAAGTGTGATTGGACACACACGGAATTTGTCTTTGGCGCATATGCTCTCAAGTGTACATAAAAGAAAAGTACATTCGTCACGAATCATAAGGTACAACACTTAATCATAGTCAGGGTACAAATAAGCAATCAAATCATATTAGGAAACAATATAAATTGTAAGGATACA